CCTCCCTCGACCTGCTGGCCACGCTCCTTTTCATGCAGCCCAGGATACGGTTGGCCTTCTGGGCTGTGAGCGCACATTGCTGGCTCATGTCCAGCTTTTCATCCACCAGTACCTGCAAGTCCTTCTCGACAGGGCTGCTCTCAATCCCTTCATCCCCCAGCCTATATTGATACATGGGGTTGTCCCGACCCAGGTGCAGGACCTTGCACTTGGCCTTGTTAAACCTCATGAGGTTCACACAGGCCCACTTTCTCAAGCTTGTCCAGGTCCCTTTTTAATTAATAATATGTTTTGATTTGCTTTATCCGTACAAACCCTTTGTTTCTGCAGTTAAAAGCAGAATTAAAACAACTACTCTGCTGCACTCAATGCTGATTCAGGTGCTTGTATTTTTTAAATACAGACAAAATTTGAAGTTTTTCAATAAAACTAATAAGACTATCCCATACAGGGTCATTCCTCACTAATAAGTCAAGCCAATTATAGTTCTAGTTACCAAGACACGTATGGGAATGACTGTACATGTGTGATGGTAAAATTTTGTTCTCATAGTTCATATGGGTAGAGACAGATGAAAAATGCCTTCTATTACCTTGAAAATATCAGTATTGATAGTGCGAACATGACTTCACCTGATATGTCTACATCTCATTTATTTTTTTAATACTGTATCACATTGTAAATTCAAGCTAGTTTGCCATCCCCCCATTTGTTCTTGACCTCTTTTACAAAATGTCAGTTATAACTCTTCTAATGGATCTTTCTGTTTCTATTTAATTACCATCTATTTTTTCCAAGCTGAATATCACAATGCTATTTTCTATTGGTATCTCCCAGCTCACAAGGTCCCCGCCTAGTATACTCCTGTTCTTTTTTTTGGACTCACCACTGCTCCTGGTTTAGTGTCTACTAAACACTTGATTCAGATTACATTCTTCTCAAAAATTATGGTGCAATAAGAAAAACCCCACTGAAGGTCACTAGTTAGATAGTTGAGTGACCTGATGTCTCTTTTGGATTAAAACTAACTAATTAAGTTAAGACAGAGTCATGTGGGTTTGCTTGTGTGTGTATAAAACACATGAGTCAATTAGACTGGACTGTCTAGCATTTGATCTCAAACGTAAAAATGAAACACTGCATTGGATTCAAGTTGTGAAATGGTATGTAATTTAGGGAAAAGAAGCAGCTTGTTAAATCTGCAACTAATCTATAAAGAATTTAGAATTTAAATTATTGACAACAAGCAGAGGACAATAGATCTGATTTACTGTTCCTTAGATAATTAACAGAGATAAAGAACTGCAATGAAAATTGGAGTTTTTAATTGTTACTTGGTTTGGCAAGAGGGTGGAACATTCAAAAGAGTTTTCTTTTTCCTATTGCCTCATCTGGAATTGAGTAGAATGACAGACCAGCTGGAAAAATGAGTCAGCAAGTCAAATTAAACAAGCCAATTTTAGCAAAAAAACATGCTCTGTGCTAACATTTTCTGTGATAGGACCCAGAGTCAGCCAAAGGACCGAGATGCATCTGTCTATACCTTTTCCTTATAGACATCTCTCTAAAGAAGACAAAAGGCTTTTAAAGTAAAAAAAACAGATTTAATTAGTTTTAATAAGGAATTATGACTGAGAACACTTGGAACAACTAGATTAGACACAATGGATATGAGCATCTCTCCCTTTGCCTGCCCTTCCTTTTAAGTTTGGTTTCAACCAACTAAGTGGATTTCTGAGTTGAAGCAAACTCCCAAGTACTCTTTGATCCCAAAAAGTTGTTTTCCATCACTACCAAGGCCTGGTTATTTCTTCTCTGTGCTTCTCTGCAGCCTCTTAGGTTCTGCGTAAACTACAGGATCCCAGGTCCTTTTACTATGACTCTTGCTCTCCACCATCCACACCAGCGGATGGACACTTCTGTCCTCCAAACCATTTCCCAGGGAAAGTGCAACCTTGCCTCCAAGGGAGATCCATTTATTCTCTTCATAAAGAAACATAACTTTCAAATCAATAAAAAACAATGGAACAATCAGAAAAATAAATAAGAGCTGTCACACTTTCTTATTTTCAATAGGACTATTCAAAGTAGTACTCCTAAACAATGGAACAATCAGAAAAATAAATAAGAGCTGTCACACTTTCTTATTTTCAATAGGACTATTCAAAGTAAAGTACTCCTAGAAAACTCGTACCCTTTGAATGGAGAAGAACTAGAGATGGGCACCAGCCTGCTCTGCCAGCCCAGTTAGATACAGTCTTGAAATTGTTCTGAAATATAAAAGTCCTAATTCCTACCACTGAGAGTTCACATCCAGAGCTGTGTTAATTCTGTCAGGAATATATCATGTGCTGGGAATGGGTAGCTAATTCTCTGTACTTTTCTCACTCTGAAACTAATCTTGGGGAGAAAACACAAAATCTTTTATTCTTTGTATTATTCATTTACAGTATATAGTAGAGCAATTTACTTATTAACAAACAAAACAAGTGTAGAATTAATGTAAGGACAGTCAGACAGTGAGTGGCCCAGGCTGCCCAGAGAGGTTTTAAAGCCTGCCTCCTTTGAGGTTTTAAAGACCAGACTAGATAAAGCCCTGAGCACCGTGTCTTGATCTTATTCCTGACATTGGACTATAGACCTCCGGAGATCTCTTGCAACCTGACTTATCCTAGGATCCTGTGAAGGATGTCAAAGGAAAACAAGCAAAAATCCAACTCCTAATCAGAGAAAGTGGTAGACAGAAAAGAAAGCTATAGAAAATAGAGGAAGAAGTACTGTATTGAAGAAAATACAATTGTTAATTATACAATTAATTTGCTTTTTATTTTGTATTTCTCTCTAGCAAAAAAAGCTCATAAAACCCAAGGTGAATAGAAGGATTCTGACTGCTACAGATATTAGGGGATAATGGCACTCAAGAGAGTTGTGATGAAGACAGAAATGAGGAGCTACCCATGAGAAGGCTGTTTTCCCTACAGATCTCAGTTGCTTTTTACCTATCTTATTTCTTC